ACCCAATATGGCCGTAGAAGAACTCGAGGAGAGAACAAAAATTCCAGATGACGTTTATGAAACGATTGAAGTTCAGGTGTGATGAATGAATCGTATTGGTGTTACCTTGCGAGTTCCACAAACTGGAATTCAGGAGAGATTTTTTTTTCTATTTAGGTTTCGTTTTCCAAAACACCCTTGAGAAATACAGGTTGGGACCAGCAGCGTTCAAACACTGTGTGAGCGCTACGATTTGTACAGCATGGACAACGCAGAAAAAAAAGAAAGATGAACAGTTTGAACGTGCAGAACCGAAGGGTTTTATGAAATCGAATGTTGGGAAAAATTGCAGGAGTTCTGATTATAGCAAAGGGAAATTTGAAGTGAATGCGAGGAAGAAGGGGTTGAACACCAGGCCATCAGAGCATCACGATGTATTGAAGAAGTCCAACAATAAAGTGGAACCGAAGATCACACCTTCTGCCGTAACAAAACATAACACTGAGTGTATGGGTAAATGTTCACCAGTGAAAGAGAAGCGAGGGGAGACCAGACTTTCTAGTCAGCGGCAGAAAGATTGCCGTCAGATATTGCGCAGTTTTGTTCAGCCAAAAATCGGAATATTGAATGAGGATTCGAATGTGGCGAGTACTGAAACTCGACAAACATCGACACGTACAATCACTCGTACGTATGCGGCAAGAAATGAGAAAGGAATGAAGAACTCAGCTGGAAATCCTAATTTTGATGAACACAAAGTTAAAAAACCGGAGATCATCAATGTTGCCTCCAATATTTGTCATTTGAGGAAGAATAAGGAGGGAAATTTCATTCATTCCGAGACAACTAAATCTCAAAATTCCTCATCAAGTCTCCCAAGGACAGATTTTGATTGTGATATGAAGAGCAAAATGACGGAAAAATTCAAGACTGTTGATATAGCTCCTAAGGGTAATCGTGGGTGTATTGGCATTGATCTTGCCTATGCTTCTCCTAGAGGTAGTAGGCCTCGAAGACTTTACTACGAACAGAAGGACGAGAAACATGATAGAGAGAGAACTTTCAATCCTGAAGAAGAGTTTACTAATTCTGATGAAGAATTTCCCCGTAATAAAAAAATTATCGATTCTAACAAAACGTGGAATTGGAGTGAAAGCGATTCTGAAGGGCTAGCTAAGAGTCCTCTAAGAAGAAACAAAAAACTCAAACGATCAAAAATCAGCCAGAGTGACTCTGATGAAGAAAAAGACACGAAGAAGCATAAGAACAACAGGGGTAAGAAGAGCTTGAAAACGAGCAACGATCGACGTGGAAGTTCGGAGACTTGGAAGGCCGATTATTCGAAAGAACTCTATTCTCCATCACCCAGCAATGGAGTTTGGCGTTTCTATGATGACGATGACTAGTATTAGTCTTTGAAAAAGCTATGAATGCCTAAGAATTCCCATTTTAGTATCGTAAAACTTTTCCATGATGGGAGTGGAGTAAAAATGTTTTGTTTGCTTCTTCATTATATCACTCCTCTCTTCATCAAATTTAACATTTGTTTTATTCATATCAAGTTTTCTAATTTTTCAATTTCAATTTTTTAAGAATTATTGTAAGAAAACCATCTTTACAATAGTTCTTGTGTATTTATCTTTTATTATATGTTAGCAAGAAAACAAAGTGCATCTTGGCATTTTATCATTTAAAAAATCGTCCAGTGCTGAAGACACGGAGGACTGATGTTATAGGGTACTAAAGTTTTCTATATTCATGACAATTAATTGAGCCCTCATTGGATAATATTTACGAACGTTGCTGAGACACTCACTGATTAATCGAATCATACTTCATCCACTTTTGAGTTATGAATATCATTTTTAATGAGCTCGAATCCTTATCAAATTTTATTGTGAAATAATCATTAAAAATTTTACTTATATAATATGTAACTGCGATATATATGGTGATGAACCTGTCACTGCAATCTCATAAACGACCTATGAACACCCCCTGAATGATTCATACATAGTCCATGAACGTTTCCTGACTACGAATCATAAATAACGTGTGCTTGTCGTATGAAGAAAAGAAATTAAAACGCAAAACTATTCACCAAATGGTCTTATATCGGGCAAAAAGTCATACCAAAGAAAATGTTCGTTTCTAGTGTAGAATTTTTCGAATAAATCGCTGGTTAATTCACAATAAACACGTGCTGAACGCTTCGACTTTCCCTGAAATTACAAATTGAAATGTACTTAATGATTAATTTTCTATGTAATCTCCCCCCTTTTCCCATGTCATGTCAGTCGAAATTGTTTGTATTCAATAAACAGAGTTGTAATAATAAAAGTGACTGTAATGAATTGATTATGGTCTTGAACAGTTTTTCTCACATTTTTTGCGCAATTTTCAATCTTTAATCTCCTACAACGATAACATTCCACGCATTGATCATCTGTTCATAGACCATTTGCAGTACATATTCCTGATGCTGAATGCGAAGGATTCTTAACGTTTTTTCTGTTCGAATATACAATCCTAATTTGGAGAGTTATTCATAATATACATTATGAACGTCGCATGAATGGTCTACGACTCTCTGCTATCACGAACTGCAGAATTCATGAGACGTTTAGGATTGTTTCACAGGGTGAACGTCAGGTAAATGCAATTATCAACGGTTCATCATGCATACATCGTGAACGAAACATTTTTTTACACGGGATGGTTTTTCGTTCACTCCACCATGAGATGTGACAATGTCGCTCTCAACCTCATTGGCGCGAAATTTAAACGTGGTACGAATCTTCTAGTCATTCGGTGTAAATTTTACGGAGAATATTCATTATATTGTGATATCCCACATTAAATGATGACAACAGATTAATAAAATGGTTGGGGCCGTTTTCTTAACTATTCAACAGAGTAAATATGATGTGTTCTGCACAAGAGCGCCAAAGAGAATCGTCAAATATCCAAGTTACTCAAAGACAATCATTACCAAGGCGGCTTCTTGAGATCCGTTCGATGATAGACAATTGAATCAGGATTCGAAGGGGGATACACCACAGTATTAAAAAAATAACTCGTTGTAGTTCTCTATTTTTTAATACTTTTATTATTTTCAACTTGGTTTGCGAATCATCCGTTTTTTCATTGTCTCTAAGTCTACAACTCGTCGTCCCTCAATGCAAGGTGTTTTTATTGATGCGCTCATCGCCCTCATCACTGGCATCGGCCTTTCTCCTACTCTCTCCGGTCTCCGATTGTTTCAAACGTAAATTATACACTTCGTCTGTTACTAATTTACCGTTTCAAAGTTTAATATTTTTAATTGGAGACACACGATCCATCTTTTATTTGTTTTTGTCACTCTCAATGGATTTAACGTGGGGACCACATGGGATCACATGGGTTGTACACCACACAGTTGAACCGAGTAGAATACGATCAGCCTGAGGAGATTGTGTCTTTGGTTTTCAGAGGTGGGAGACAAGGATATAAGTGGTGATTAGGTAAAGTGGGGATAACTCTGAGGGGCACAATCAGTTCTACTATACTCTGCAGGACTATCAGCTTGGAAAAATGAAATGGCCACTTCGTGCGACATGGCCACTTTTTCTATGCATTTTTATACAATTCCGATAATTTTAAAAAAAATTTGAAAAATAATGCAATACGCGTAACTGATTGCAAAAAAAAAATTAATTCACGGAAAAAAATCGAAGCTCAAAACGACAATATTGTAATGGAAAACTTTATTTGAAAATTTTAATTTTTTGTGTTCAACGATTGAGTCATGGCTGAATAACAATAGGACTCCCGTTCCGTTTCACCACTCTGGAGATCTACAGACGAAACATCTTAAGAACCAAAGTACTGGATTCCTTTACGTGCACCGAACTGTCGATCGGTGGAAGCGCTATCAAAACTATCACAGTGTATGACTATTGATAAATATAAGGAAAAAATTTCAAACTTTCAGGACTTCACTATTTCATCGGTTCCAATTGATACAAAACATTTTTGATTTTTTTCGTCCCGATAAATCCATCAAAATACCAATAATTCTTGTAATTTATTCACTGGGAGAATTGATAAAAAAATTATTGGTGTCAATTATTCATAATGAATAACATATTTTTGTTAGTTCGATAATCGAGGATTAACGACCTAACGAGGATTAGCGAACTTTATATGGAAAAATGTTCATAACAAATATTTATGTGCGACTTCTGTTCAACCCTTCCCCGTTTGACCCTTCCATAGTTTAACTCTTCCTTGTTTAACCTTTCCCCGTTTTAGCCCTCATTTGGAAAAGATTGATTCCTTCGCTCAAACAAATGGGAACTGCATCCAGACGGAGTAGTAAACACGCATTTTCGGAAGGTTTCGGTGTAATGGTCAAGTAGGGTAAACTGCCCAGTAGATGGACACCTAAGATATGCCCAGTAGATGGACGTTTGTTTTTTCGCAATTGAAAAAAAAATGATCGAAAAAAAATCGCCATTCAGGGGTTGAGAATCATAATAGTTAGTGAAAATTCAAAGCAACAATTCACATTTCAGCTTTTTTTTGTGTAATTTCCTATCCAAAAGTAGCTCGTCCATCTACAGGATAGTGTCCGTCTACTGGGTAGCTCACCCTACCATGCATACTGGATTTCAGTAAAAATTACCAAGAACAAACTTTTTCTCTGATTTCACCGGAATCCAGTTCTTTTCGTCTCTGGATTGCAGTACCACGAAGTACTGAAATCCAGAAACTGTTACTGAAAATCAAAACCTTTGTTCCTCTGTATTTCCCGTGGTAATAAATGATTTCGAAAGAACAGGTCAGAAAACTTTATCTTATGGCGAAAAAAATACACAAAAAAATGTCTTCCTTATTTTTTCTGAATCTCCTACACTCTGCGAAATTAAAAAAAAATTGTAAACCATTTCCAGATACTTTGATTGATAGGTTTTGATGCGTTCCTTTTTATTACCTTTTAATGATTCTCACTACTTACTACTTGTATTCACTGACAGGTGGGGAAGAATAATGGGGGGCCTCCCCAGTGGCTGGATGAGGAAGGTCCTCCTTTTCCTCGTGCTCATCACTGGGATCCTCCTGATCGCCATGTACGCGCACACACCACCTCTCGTATCCCTCCAGCCCTTCGCCCCCAGGAGGTAACGTAACATTTTGCCATGATTGTACAATTGTTGCTGGATTTTATTTGTAAATTTCCTTAACACACTTATGAATGTTTAATGATTGCATGATTGTTGCACTAACACAATAGTTTGAAGCAGTTATCACGTCAGATGATTAATGAGACAAGTGATAACATTACGATCGTCGAATTTGGAGATGCACTGTCGTTGGAATCAATGAATTACTCGAGGTAAAAAACTATATCAACATGGGGACTTAAATTGGAGTAGTTTGACTTGATAAATGGAGAGTATTGAATTTGCTTTACAAAGTCAGATTGTAGTCTCACGTAGTATTACAGGATAATTATTTTTTTGCATGATGTATGCACGTGTGTATAGGGGAATTAACATTGCATGAATATTCATTAAAAATTCATTTGATGCAGAATACTTAAGATTGTGGCGGAGTTCATTGATTCATGAAAGATATGTCTCCCCCCTTGCAATTCATATTTTATAAAGCCATTACAATTTTTTACTTGGCTGTAGTAACTCAGTAGTAAAATGGAACAATGAATCACGGTAAATGTGATTTCTGATTAGATATTGATCCTCTTAAGTAAATTGAAGAGAGAATATTGGGAACTTTTTCTATAAACGAGAAAATTGCGTACAACAAAGGTCTCGGTTTTTTCCTGGAGCCGATAATTACCGGGACAATATCGTACTCGGAGAAAATTATTTGGTGAATTTCAGCAACTAATGTTGAAAAAGATGAATTACCAACCAGTTAGTGAATTTTCTCCGTGTAATTAACAACAGAATGTGTCTATTGAAATCCATCAGTTCTTGAATTAATATCACGAATGTTTTGAAAAACGAATACAATGTCAGAAGACTTTTTATCTTGTGGAATAAATTTCTCATCAATCAAATCGCTCATAACAGAGATAATTGGAAAAAATTAGCTTAATCTCATTTTTTTTATTTTTCTAATGATCCGAGGAATTCATAGAGGTTGCAATTTCAAATAAGCTGTCTCTGACGTAAAGTATTTCATGGGATAAACCCTCAAAATGTCTTACCTCATCAATGCCTAGTAAGCTAAATTATTCACAATATTGTTGAACTGAAACGAGTCTGTCATTTTGTTCTATCTTTAGTCCCTCCATTGAATAATTTGTATTGTCTCTAGATCGTTCAACAGCCCATGGACGTGGGTTTGTGTAGCGGGCAGATGTGAGCGACGTACGTCAAGAACATCGCGTACGTCCCTCGCGACGTGCAATGCACTCTGCGGTGGTAACACTCGATTGCTCTGGCCGCGGCCCACTGGCAGCGTCATCCTCGGTGAAGAGATGATTGCGTTATCTCTTCAGCACATTGAATTAGTTATCATCAATACGAGGGATGAGGAAGTGAAAAGTCTACTCGAGCATGCCAAGGATGTTTTTATTGGTAAATAAATAGAAATCGATAAATTATGAACAGGAAGGGTTTATTGTTTAGAAACTATCAATTAAACAAAAAACTTAACACTAACAATCACTCGATTCGAAATTATATGTATGTTTCTAACGAATCATATTTTTACTCTGTGAAAACTTTAACTTTTAAGTCAGAAATATTCATGTTTTTCGATTGAGAATGTTTATCAATTCTTTCAAATTCTGATGGCTCTTTTTGATGGCTCAGTGATTTTTAGAATGGAGTGATTTCCTGTGATTTCTTGAATGATTTTTCTAATTTCCACGATTTCTGATAGTTTCTTATGATTTCTTGATTTCAACTACAATTTTCTTGTCGAAAACGAACTTTATTGGCAAAACTAAATTATTTCAAGGGCACAATTTTTTTTTGAAAAATATCCTCGTCAATGCATTTTTTCTATGATGTAAACTTATGCAATTCGTTCAGATCAAATGATTGGCCTACTATAGTGTATATTTTTTCCTGGCAACAATGCAAATTCTTCTAGGGAGGATTCTGATTATTTAATTTTTGTGAAAGATTAAATTTCCTTCTATCAAGTTGGTTAATTTCCCTCAAGTAAATTTGTTCTACTCTATCGAATCTCCTCAAGTGAAACATAGCTTTTTGAGAGCCAATTATTTCTCTCAGTGTGCTTTGCAATAGACAAACGTCACGAGGATAATACCTCGTAAGGGGTGCATTTTGCAAGGGTCAAAAGGCACAAGAATCATCCCTGTTATGAGAAGGTCAATCATTATTTATTGCCCTTTATTGATTTTTCCCCGTTATCATCTCTTGTCTTAATATTATTTGTTTATTTTCTACGCACTAAGTCATATTTTCAAAATATTTCCAAAACGTTAAGAATTTTTGTGTAGAAATTTTATGATTAATACAAAAAAGATTTTCTGAAGATTTCTTATAAAATCACCGGTTTTGTAGATGACGACTTTTGCAGTTAATGAACCTTCCGGTTAATTGTTGAATGATCTTGATAGAATAGAATAGAATATGCGCGGCTGGTCACTTAAAGCGCCCAGAGTCACCTAAATCATACGATCTTTTGTAACATCCGCCTTAGTTTCGGTCAGTCACACAGCTCCAGCCCTGTGTTTCTCACTAGGCTAATAAGGCTGGTGACAGCCGCTTGTTGTAAGTCCTCTGGTTCGAGGAAAGCCTGGCCCCAGATTTTATAGCGACGGAGTGCTAATAGGGGGCATTCACATAAAATGTGGATGACGCCCTCCTTATCGCCTCCGCACAGTCTGCAGTCTTCTTNCAGTTGCCCCCTCATAAGCAGTTTCACTTGTCTGCAGGTCGCAACTTTCTCCCAACGCCTGACATGATCTCGCTAGAAATGTTCTTTAATAAGAGTTTTTCCCAATGCGAAGGGCATGCCAAGCAGGCCGTGTGAGGGCACCCTTTCTGTACCCTCCTTGGCCAGCTTATCTGCCTCTTCATTACCCAGAATCCCATGGTGACCTGGCACCCAGGTTACGGTGACCCGGTTGTTTTTACCCAGTGTGTCCAATGCCTGCATGCATTCCCACACCACCTGTGACTCTGTAGTGGGTTTTTCCAGAGCGTGAATCGCCGCCTGGCTGTCACTGCAGATGAATATTTTCATCTTCTTTGTGTCTCTCGCGTTCAGATACTCTGCACACTTAAGTATGCCCAGCATCTCTGCTTGAAAGACGGTTGAATGATGGCCCAGCGGAAAACTCTCTCCGAAGCCATCTTTCAGACGGTAGATGCCTGCCCCAAAACTTTCATTGAAGCCAGAGCCGTCCGTAAACCAGTAGTCCTCTCTTGGTCCTGGTTTACGTTTCGAGTCTAGCCACTCCTGTCTGGGTGGTATACTCGTTCTGAAAGTTTTCCTGATCTGATACTTCCTAGGAATCCTATCCGTCTTACCTATGAAGGGTCGATCATTGATTAGGCTAAGCCTTGTATGGCCTTGGCCCGTCATCTTCCATTCTAGTTGGCACCTTAGTCTATATGCAGTTGTGGTAGCACAACTCACAACCCTAAGGTCGAGGGGTGGGATACTGAGTGCTATTTCTAGCGCCTCAGTAGGTGTCGATTTCATGGCTCCTGTTGCAGCCCTCAGGAAGGTTCCCTGTAGGCTTTTCAACAGGTTCCTTGTTTCCGTCTTACTCACCCTCGGCCACCAGACGACCGCAGCGTATAACAGTCTCGGAAGTAGAACTATTTGGTAGAGCCAGAGCATCATTTTAGGATTGAGTCCCCATGTCCTGCCCACAGCTCTCCTGCATGCCCACATAGAGGCAAACACTTTATTTCTCTGAGTACAGATATGTTCTTTCCAGCTGAGTTTATTATCCAGGAGCATACCCAGATATTTCAGTCTGCTGGTGTAGTTTATCTCCGAGCCATTTAGCTTTACAGGTTGGATCTTTTCCAGTTTATAATTTCTGGTGAAAACCAGGACTGTTGTCTTGGCTGGATTTACCGATACGCCAGTTTCCCTGCACCAGTCCTCAATGATATTGAAGGTTATTGCCATCAGGTCCCTTAGCACCCTCAGAAATCCGCCTCTCACAACAACTGCCACATCATCGGCGAAACCGGTGATGTGGAAGCCGGCCTCACTTAGTTGATTTAGAAGTCGATCTACAACCAGGTTCCATAGCAGGGGCGAGAGAACTCCCCCCTGCGGACAGCCCCTAGTCGGACGTCCCTCCACACATACCCTCCCATGTCCTGCCGACAGTCTTCTGCTTTTCAGCATGTTTTGTGTCCAAGCAATGATAGTCTTGGACACCTGTCGTTCTTCCATGGCTTTTTCTATAGCCGGATTCGAAGTGCTATCAAAAGCCCCCTCAATATCCAGAAAGGCGCCTATGGCAAAACCCTTGACCGCCAGTTGTCCCTCAATCAGTCCCACCAGGTGATGTAAGGCGGTATCTGTTGATCTTCCCTCCCTGTATGCATATTGACAGGGGGAGAGGGTTCTGTCAGCCAAGGGCCCGGCCTTGATGTGTCTATCCACCAGCCTCTCCAGGGTCTTCAGGATGAAGGATGTGAGGCTTATAGGACGGAAGTCTTTTGGTTTTATATAACCGGTTTTTCCCGGCTTGGGAATGAATACTATCCTAGTCTCATTCCACACACTAGGGACATGTTTCAGGGCTATACTAGCTCTGAGTATCTTGGTTAGGGGTCCCGTGATAGTCTCTATCCCTTCCTGTAATAGGGCTGGGTAGATCCCGTCTGGTCCCGGTGCCTTGAAGGGTTCAAAGGTTTTGATGGCCCACTTGACCCCCCAGGGCTGCACTACTTTATTTGCCAATGCCCAATCATGGGTTTCGTAGACATCCCTCTGATTTTGCATTGTTTCTTTGTCCCTCTCCTGGCCCTGTATGAAGCCTCGAAAGTGAGTGTTCATTAGGAGTTTCAGAGTCTCTCCCATGGTTTCCGTGTGGCTGCCATCTGGTGCCTGTAGGCTCCCTAGATATGGAGTCTTGTTTGTTCCAAGGATTTTTGCCAGCCTAGAGGTCTCCGATTGACTCTCCACATTGCTTGTGAAAGCCCTCCAGCAGTCCTCTTTGGCTGCCTTTATTGCCTTGTTGTAATCTGCGAGCAAGCCTCTGTAAGTTTTCCATGCGTCTTCCTTACGGGGGCCCGCTCTCATGTTCTTAGCTTTGTTAAAAGCTTTTCTAGCTTTGCCCCTCAGCCCACCGAGCCTCTCTGACCACCAAGGAGTCTCAGTGGGCTGCCCTTTCGGGATAAGCTTGCAGTTTGTCTCGAAGGAGTCCATGATGGCCTGGTTTAGGGCAATCGAAGCCTCCTCCAGCTGCTTTTTGTTGTTAAATCTGAGGATGATATCCCTGAGATTGTCAGATAGACTCTCTCGGTAATTTCCCCAGTTTGTTCGTCTTGGGTTTCTCACCCATTCCGTTTCTTTCACTGTGTGGATGGACATTCTTATGGTTTGATGATCGGACGCTGAGAGGGCCTTTGAGACCCTCCAGTCCCCAATCATGTCTGCCACTCTATCCGTCCCCAGAGTGATATCTATGACCTCCTGTCGTCTCCGATCTATGAAGGTAGGTTCTGACCCCCTATTAAGGATGTTTAGACCGGCCCCCATTATGAATTCCTGGAGGCTTTCCCCCCTGCCGTTAATGCCGGTGCTCCCCCATGCTACATGGTGCGAGTTGGAATCACAACCTAGCAGGAGTTCAAGTCTTCTTTCCTTCACATGGTTGCATAGGTCCTTTACTTTTTTCGAAGGAGGTGGTTCAGCCGAGTCATAGGGCATGTAAACTGACCCTACAACCAGGCTCATTTCCTCGCCTTGTCCCAGGCCCAGATCCACTTGTGCCACAGCCAGGTCTCCCTCACTAGCCTGTGAACAGAAGAAAGAGTCTAGTCCTTTAATAACAATACAAGATCTAATTTTTTCCTGAGTGTTTGCGTGATAGATTCTGCCACAACCACTGAGGCCCTTAATGGCATTGTCCACTATCCATGGTTCTTGGATCAATGCTATAACAGTCTGAATCCCAGCTTGGCAGACCAGCAAGGCCTTGCCTTGCCCAGGGCTTGGCCTGACTAGAGTAGCCGAGGCTGCTTTGCTGTGATGCAAATTTATCTGTACAATGTGCACCCGGGTTGCAGCCATAATGATGACTACTTTCCTGGTACCTCTATGTACCCTTCTTCTGACTTTCACCACGGTCTTTCGCAAGCAGCTTGACAGTTGCTTTTTGAATCCCGCAGTGCAGTCTGTAGTTGCAGGCTTTCAGAACAGAGAGTGATCGGTCGTCTATCAGCGCAACGAAGTGGGCATTTTTCGCGTCCTTGCTCTCACTGCCCCGAGGGACAACCCACTCTCTGGCCTGCAGTCCTGCATTTTGTTTCTCAAGGAAGCACAGTGCTTCTTGAGCGGTTAGATCTGGGTCTTACACCTGTAGTACAACCCAGTGCTTCTTGGGAAGCTCCGAGGCTGCGACCACACG